CCTGCTGCCGCTCATTATTGGTGTGGCTGGTGGTGGCAGGTGGGGGAAACTTGCTCCTAAATGGTCAGCAGAGAAGAACTCCAAATTAGCAAATCGGATTATTTTAACTGGTTAAGATACACGTTCAGATAACCTGTTCGTAGAATGCAGTGCTTGCTTTCGTAGCAAAATTTCTTTATAGGATCTTTATTTGATACATATGAAAAAAAGATACAGCTGAAGATCATCTTCAGAATGCTTATTTACAGTACAGATTATTTCTTACTTTTCTTGACAGAGTTCTACATTTGTTATCTTGTTGTAAAAGTTTTCTCATCCTAGTATTGGGTTTTGTCGAAGAGCAAAGTAGCTCAGGTGTAATTGACTTATTTCAAGATGCTTCTGTTTTATGATGCTGTTCTGAAATTGTCAATTAATCTGTTATCTTCCCTCTGATATTTCGCTCATAGATGGGGAAGCCATAGGGAGTTTGTATCATGGCAACAGATGAGGATGGACTGGGACTGTTTGATATCCGCTATGGTGGTAAGCTGTGTTAGGTTACTTTCTGTTTTGCAGTGAGATAACAAGCAGTCTTACGAAAATAAATAGGTCCAAAAATAACTTAGAAAACAAAATGGAAACAACTGAAGTTGGGACAAATATTGATGAGCTTCAACCATAATTAAGTGGCTGTGGCACAGTATCATTGTAAGCCATATCTTTTCTCCACAGTAGCAGTAACTTGCTGCGTAAAATTCCCCTGTCTTTTACTAGTTTGTACTACTACTTTCACTACTCTCTACTGGTCTAGGATCACAGCTATACTTACTTTATGGGAAAGGTGGAAGTTGGAGTTTACTAAATGTTTACTTTGTCGTGTCTTTTTTTTTTTTTTTTTTTTTTTTTTTTTTTTTTTGCTTAAGCTGAAGCTTCCCCCTTCAAGGAAGGTGATGAGAGTTCAGTGGATATTTACGATGGCTTGGACAACAGCTTGACAGTTCCTGGTAGGTTGATTGTATCTTGCTGCTTGGCTTGGAGCATTATAGAGTCTCTGTGCTGCTTAGGCTGGTTTCAAGTAAAACAACAGTTACCTTTAAGTTTACGTTGAGCTGGTGTAATATATGCTTCAATGAGCTACTTGTTTAAATTCAAGACATAGAATCATAGATTTGTTTAGGTTGGAAAAGACCTTTAAGATCATCCAGTCCAACCATTAACCTTAGACTACCAAGTTCACCACTAAACCAGTTAAGGGTAGAGTAATAATTAATTTCATGTTTCCTGGCTTGGTGGCTGGATTATTTTTTAATGAAAGTAAAACAGAAAAGAATCATTAAGGTTGGAAAGACATTTAAGAGAAAATGAAGGAAGGAGCACCGAATATGTTTGGGTATTTGATTCTTCCAGAGTTTGTAAGAATTTCCCTATAAAGACATCTGGGTCACACTTCTCTGTGCAGTTCCAGTATGATTCTGTTTTCTTGTCCATATATGTTACAGTCTGTATAAATACATCAGAGAATTCTTGAATATATTAGCTGAATGATTATAAGATAGTTTTCATGTGATACTGCCTATTTTAAGAGACTTGGCCATATAAGGCGGTGCAGAGAAACCTTAGCTATTCTATCTGTGCCTTGATGTAGGACATTTTAGCTTGGAAAAAGCACCTTTATTCTGTGGTTTTTAAGCAGCATCAGGAGCAGAACCAACAGTCAATGATCACTAAATCCCCAGTGAGAGTTCCAAAATATTCCTTCTGTGTATACAACATATTCAGTAGATCCTTTTAACAAGTTTTTCTCTACTGACCTTACTACTGTAAGGCCATTGAATTTTTATGGGAGGGCTCTACTACATCCTACAGACAAAAAAGCATCTATACATCTTTTTCTCGCTTTCCATTTTGTATTTGTTAGAGCATATAGGAGTATTCTCTAAGTCTATATTTCACATACTGAGATGCATTGTTTAGTAAATGTAAAAGATGCAAGGAGGAATAATTGAACACAGTGCAAACATTTGATATAGTCTAGTTCTGAGGGATCTTTTTTTTTTTTAAATTTGAAAAGAGGATTGGTGAGATTTTTGCATGTCATCTTGCATTGTGTTAATAATACTCTTTACGTTGTGTTAATAATAGTCTTTGCATTATGGTATTGTCCAAAGGATTGAAGCGCAGCTTTGATAGCTAACTTCATTTATTTGTCCGCAAATTAATCTGTATTTCAGAGGTGTCATAAGTCGGGTCCTGTCAGTAATGCGTATTTGATGAACAGAGCACACAGGTTGATTTCAGGAAAAAGTACTGTTATCTAAATAATGGGGGTGTTTGGGTGTTGGGTTGTTTTTTGTTTCTTTTTTTTTCCTTTCATTTCTTTGGAACTAAAGCTAGGGAGTTTAAATTTGTGAGGGAATATAAAGCAGCAAAGGACATTTATTCAACACAAGAAGCATGGTATTCAACCCCATACCAACTCTACAGTAACTCCATTTGATTCTGATCAACTGATCCATGTTTGTGAACATGTAGGTGTTCTTTTTCTCAATAATTTTTTTTCAGCTGCAAATGTTTCCAAGGTGAAGTCTGGCCAAAAGCTGAATGAGTTGTAGGATGCACATATTTATTCTAGCTTTCTGCTGTCTGTTGGCTCTGGAATATCAGAACCTCAGATCACTGCTAAGGTGTAGCCCTTCTTGCTTTGTAAATTAGGTAGATTTATTGCATGTTAGCTCTCCTTTGACTTAAAACAACTTATTAGACAGCCATAAAATGCACCCATCTTTGTTGTTAGGTGTCCTGTATGTCTCTCAGTTTTTCTAACACAATGTTTCCAGTTGAACTTTAATTGTCATTGTTATCTTTTATGTTGATGTAAATTGGATCAAGTATTTCCAATAAAAATAACATAGATGTTGAAATTCAGGATACAAATTTCTCCGGATAAGGTCATGTGTTTTCCTCAGTGGCACAATGCGACCTGGCTAGAAAAATACCTTTTTCTTTATGTAATTGATTTTCTTTCTACAGACAATTCTGCTCCAAATTCTACACCAGCTGGAAACAGCTTAAATTTATTTGATGAGATATTAATTGAAGAAGGGACTGCAAAGGAAGCATCCTACAACGAGGTGTGTATTAATGTGACAAAAATCATTCTGGTGTTTTGGAGGTTTTTTCTTTCAAATTTCCTTGTGTAAAATGCAAAAAATGTTGTAATATTAATTAATGTTTGTAATATACATTACTGTGTTAACTAACTATAAATCTAGAGGAGTAACTTTCCTGTGTAATCAAGTCCACTTCTGTGCTGTGAATTCTTCTCTCTTCAACAGTTGCAGGCAGAATACGGAAAATGTCAGCAGCAAATTAAAGAGTTGATGAAGAAATTTAAGGAAATACAGGCACAGGTACTGTAGTTCAAAGGGCAACATTGTCAAGACTTATGTAAAGCAAACTAGATACTGCTTTGAGAGAGAGTTAATTTCATGCGCTTTCCAGAATTAAGCCATTGCATGGATGGTTTGCAAAGCACCTCTGTAGGTGCTCAGAGCTTGTTCTGCCTAGGATAGTTGCTAGGATAGCCTACTGACAAAAACGGTAGGTAAATTCACTTGTTTCACAGTGTTGCATGCGGTAAGACTTTAGTTGCTTAAAAGCTATCTTCTATCTCCTCAATTAGAAAATAAGCGTGTCAAATGAATAGTTATCAGAAAGGTATCCAGTTCTCTTGTTTTTTAAAAAATAGGTCTTTAATGCACTAGGGAGAAGGTTGCGAAGGTACCTGAGCTGTCATTAGAACTGGAAGAGGATGTCTGTGTTGCTTCCAGCATAGTGCCATTTTGATAAGGCTGAACTGCTCTTCAACTTGAGCTAGTATCCCCATGCTGTGCCCTTCTAAATAGCTAGATTATGTTGGGGAACTCTGCAACATGCTGTACTGTGTATTACAGATAAGTCCCAAAGGTTCTATGCTTTGAAATGGTAAGCAGCTTCTGCCCTGTGAACTTACGTATTGTTTTTCTGCAAAACTTGTCTGCCTTTCTGAGCAGACTTTGCTGAGGACAATTATTAAGAGAAGAGGCTATCTCAGGATTGACAGATAGGATTCTAGAACAACATATTTAGAAATGTTAGAATGATAGAGCACCCAAAGTTTTGATACCTTGAAAGAAATAGTTACCCTCTTTCTCTGAAAGTGCTTAAAAGCTACGTCTCTCATTTGACACAGTGACCAGGAAATTGAGTAAAAGAAGGAAACAAAACGGCAGATTATCATTTTTTAGCTCTATGGTTACTTGGTTATGGCACATTTCAGTGCTAATAAATTGTATGCTTAAAACATCTTAAATAATTACCAGGAACCCAAACAGGAGCATAAACGCGAGTGATGCTTTTTAAAAAAAAAAAGCTCCGTTGGATCTCAATAATTCTGACTTAATTCTGACTTCTCAAAAACAGTTTCTGTTATGTTCTACTGTCAGTTTGCATATGATGGGACTCTTTCTAATGGTTGTCTTGCACTGTTTTTCATTAGCTGTTTGGATACACAAGCTAATACTCTTTTTTTTTTTTCCCCCCCCTCTCTCCACCTTTTCTCTCTTGCTCTCTTTTTTGTATATGTTTAAAATAGAATGTCATTCTACAGAATGAAAACCAAGCTCTCAAAAAGAATATTTCAGCACTTATCAAAACAGCAAGAGTGGAAATTAACCGTAAGGATGAAGAAATCAGTAATCTCCATCAAAGGTACAGCTAGACAGTGGAACTGAAAACATGCTTTTTGTCTGATCATGTTTATATACTTGTAAGAAAGTTTGTGTGTATTTTAAGTAAAACTAATGAAGAAAATCATTACTTAGTAAGTAATTGTGTACTGGTACAATCAGAGGAAATAGGTATGTATCTTCTTTGCTTGGTGAGGTCTTTGGTTTCTAATTGAGAAAACTAGGAGGAATCCAAAGGGTGACCATTTGCCTGAATTCATTTTTGTTTGTTTTGTTTAATCACCCATTCCTGGTGGGTTATCTAACTATCTTGCATGTTTCAAAGCAGGTATTACTTTACACAGTTCAGCTTCAGAATGAGTCGTATTTTATGGTCTCAGGCATGAATTCCATGGAACTTTTCAGACGACAAATCAAAATAAATAAAGAGACTATATAATGTTTTCACGGCCAGATATGAAAGCCCTGTCTCCAGTGGTGGGGGATAGCACCTAGAGGATTTTTGGTAATTTCTGTGTACTACTAATCTTACTGCAAGGAGTTGAAAATATTAAAGTATGGATGGGAGAGTAGCTGAGTTTAAGGTTTCTGAACTGCTTGAAACCAGAGCAGGGGTCCAAGATTCAGGACCCCTAGTTTATCACAAGGTCACCTGCTTGTCACTTGTGTGACATCAGCCATATTATTGCTTTGTTTGTGTTTCTGTTTGACCATTTGGTATTTTCTTGCACCAAAAGATGACATAAGGAAGGTTCATTTGATGTTACTGTGCTAGAGGCTATATGCATATTAACTATGTGATTTTTTTTTTTTTTCCTAAATACTGAAAGTGACCAGATGTTATCTGATGGAGGTTGAGAGGTTTTAAGACATGCAACTCTTTCAGTTGATTGGCTTTGACACAATAGCTGTCATTTTCCACACCTTTGAGTGTAGTATTCTGGGTTTTAAATTAAATTGTTTGAAAAATATTTTCTTGTTTTGAATACTCACCCTCATTAAAGAGTTTACAAACTCTGTTGCAATACCTTCTGATGGTGATGAAAATTTATGAACAACGTATTTGATCTAGGTATTTTGGAGACATCCATCATGGAAAATTGTGGGGAAAGTGGCACTTTGAGGTCTTAGACCTCTATAGACCTTGGCTGCTGCATGGTCTATAATAAATAAGCTCATCTTAAGGAATCTACCTATCTGTAAAGACTACTTAAAAGTTAATACCTTTGTGGGAAATTGTTAGTGCTTATCTCAAAAAAAAAAACAACCCCAAAAACACCCAAACAAAAACTAAACCAAACAAAAACCCCACTTGGATACAATTACATTTATCACACATGTATGCAGATTTAATAGTCAGCCTAAAGCACAGTGAAAACTTGTCAGTATAATTCAAAATTAAACAGAAATATAGGAAAGGGGTTTGGATTACAGCAGCTGCAGCATTGTTGTAGTTCAATGTTCAGTTCACATCACAATGTCACTTTTTTGGAGCAGAGCCAGTTGTATAAGCTGATGGTTACATATTTAAATTTACTGTATCAGCCCATGGGAAGTGTTCAGTTTTATAAAGCAAAACCAACCCCATTTTGTATTGGAGATAAATACAGAATTATTTTACACTCGAACTGATTCCTTACAACCGGACACTGAATCAACATAGAATTTCAGGCCAAAACCAAATGTCTGTGTGTAACAGCCCTTCATCCTTCTCTCCCTAAGAAGGAGCCATACATTTGGTGGTTTGCTTCCATCATTTGTTGGCTTCTGTTTACTTCTGCATCGGTTAGACACAATCATTCTTTTGAGATTCTGGAAAGCATTTAAGAAAGTTGCCATTGCCTTTAACCATGTCATTTTAATGAAATGTTTTGTTGAATATGGCAGAAAAGTGTCTGTCTGGGGTTTTTTTGTTGGGTTGGTTTTTTTTTTTTTTTGGTGAGGTAACTTTGAGCTCTATCAGTAATGAGTTCAGGCTATATAGGCTACATGTGCCCTTTTCAATTTACTTTTTTTTCTTTTTATTGTGATGACTTTGCAGCAGTAGCATGTGGCCTTGATGAGGCTTGATTACTGTAATTTACTGCTTGTTTTCTGTAGCTTGCAACAAGTTCCAAACATGGTAGTTTATTTGTTTATTGGGTAGAGTAAGCACAATCACATTATACCTATTCTTTTGGTTGCCAGTTTACCAAATAGTGAGCTACTAAATCGCTCTTTTTCTATTATTGTTATTTCATCATGTCCTGGTTTCAGCTGGGATAGAGTTAATTTTCTTCCTAGTAGCAGGCATAGTGCTGTGTTTTGGATTTAGTATGAGAATAATGCTGATAACACACTGATGTTTTAGTTGTTGCTAAGTACTGCTTCTGCTAGTCAAGGACTTTTCAGCTTCCCATGCTCTGCCAGGTGCACAAGAAACTGGGAGGGGGCACAGCCAGAACAGTTGATCCAAACTGACCAAGGGGCTGTTCCATACCATATGACGTCATGCTCAGTATATAAGCTGCGGGAAGTTGGCTGGGGGGCGGGGATCGCTGCTTGGGAACTGTCTGGGTATCGGTCGGCGGGTGGTGGCAATTGCATTGTGCATCACTTGCTTTGTATACTATTATTACTGTTGTTTTTATATTGTTATTATTACTACTACTATTTTACTTTATTTTATTTCAATTATTAAACTATTCTATCTCAACCCAGGAGTGTTTCTCACTCTTCTGATTCTCTCCCCTGTCCCATCAGGGCAGGGGGAGTGAGTGGGCAGCTGCGTGGTGCTTAGTTGCTGGCCGGGGTTAAACCATGACACCTTAAATCACTAATGCTTTAAAGAACAACTTTTTTTTTCCTAGGGGAAGGCTCTCTTTATTGCTGGACGATGAAATACTAATTTGAATTACTGTATTTGTTAATTAGACGCAGTACAGTATTTTTCCACAGATCTTGCTTTTTCTTTAGACGAATTTGATTTGGAAAGTACGTATACAAATTATATGTGCTAATGGAAATTATTTCACTTCTATTTTTATCCCACATTTTTTCAACTTGAAGCTGAAAGAAACTATGAACAATTTTGAGAGATATGGATTCACTGCAATTTGGCTTTAGTTATGTTTAAAAAAATTTCAAAACTAACATGGCTTTTTTTTCTTTTTATAAACAGGCTATCAGAATTTCCCAATCATCGAAGTAGCTTCACCAGAACATACCTTCCAGGATCAACTAATGGAAGGTGCTCTGAGATGTGTAAAACAAAAGATTCCAAATTCAGACCTTCTGATTTAGGTGACAGTATAAAGATGGAGCATAGAATGAAAAATGACTGTTCAAAAGATACATACCACAGTTACTCATCTCATAATACGGACAATGGGAAGTCTAGCTCCGACAAAAGAAACACTCCATATTTACTGAGATACCCTCCCGAAGAGCTTTGCAACGATGGTACTCATACATCGAACTATGACCATAGTTCCAACAAGGATAACAGAAAGGAAAGAAAAGAAATTAAAAGTAATGAACAGTATAGTAGGGGAAATGTCAACAAATACAAAAGAGAAGTACATCAGAGCACTGGAAACAATGGGAACTGTAACAATGGTGACAGTGAAGAGGGGAATTCAGATCCTCAGCAAAAGCTGAAAACCCTTTCAGAGAAGGCTAGTAGAAATGAGTTGCAACAAAAAAGTCAGAGCATAAAACTCAAATGCAGTCCAAGTGTAGAAAGAAGAGTAGAAAGGGGTGTTTCTTCCTGGGAGAAACAAACTACCAGTAAAGACAGATTTCAAACAAGAGGTGATTTGTATGCTGATGAGAGATCACAAAATTTATTAAAAAAAGACATTAAAACACATGATAAAGATGAAAAAAACGCTGGCCAAAAAAATAAACTAAGTGAAAAGCTACAAGAGCAACCAAGGAGGTCTGGTAGAGGGAGCAGTCCACACTCAAAGAATGAACATTCAAAGAGTCTTCATGAATCACGTAAATGTCGCGTGGAAGAGTCTAGAAAAGGAAGAGACATTGACTGCAAGAGGGACAGGGGAACAAATGATCATACCTCTCGAGAAGGAAGGACTTCACCTTCTAGTTCCAACAGCAGAGAGCATAAATACGCACGCTTGAAGGAAAATAGTAGTAGATATGAATGGGAAACAGCACATTCCAAATCAGAAAGACACAGAACTGAAGAAAAAAGGAAAAGAGAAAGAGAGAATCAGGATGAAAATAGACATTTTAGAAATGAAAGAAAAGTTGCAAAAGAGATTTCTCACCAATCTGGAAAAGAATCCAAGAAAGGTACAGATGTTACAAAAAGTGAGAGAAACAAGTCCTATAAGCTAGAAGAAAGCTTAAAAGACCATAAAATCTCCAAAACTAAAGATGATCACACTGGGACAAAAAGCAAAGACTTAAAACTTAGCTTTATGGAAAAGCTAAATTTAACTCTTTCTCCTGCTAAGAAACAATGTCTTTCTCCAACAGATGGACTTAAAACACCTTCCCAAAAGGCCGCTGATGAGGGAATTACAGAGCTCACGCTGCAAGCAGAAATGTTAGACTCTGCCCACCCTGTTAAATCTGGTCCTGCAGAGCAAGCTAATTCAACACTACAAGTTCTGGACAGTGCAGCTCCAAGCGATGTGGAACCAGCACTGCCTGTTTCTGTCAATTCTGAAAATGAAGCCTTGAAAGTAGCAGCAGCAGATCCAGCACAATCTGAGGCATTGCCAGCAGTGGCAACCGGTGAACCGAGCTCGGACACCTTACCAGAAGCAGAAGTGGGTCAGGTACAGCCCCAAGCCTTGCCAGGAGCAGCAGAGGTACTGGTTCCTGATGAGAGGCAGGCTGAAACCTTGTCAGCTCTAGCAGAGGCTTGTGATCTGGTTGAATCGGAAACCTCAGCACCAGCAGCGTCAGTGACGGATCTGAATCACCCTGAACCTTTGCCCCTGGAGGTGGCAGAGAGTGTGGCAGAGTGTGAAAACTTGCCTGTGACGGTGGGTGTGATGCAGGACGGTAATGTACCAGCAGCAGAAATGGCACAATCTGAACCTGCTGGTGAAAGTATGGGAGCCCTTCCAGAGTCAGCAGCAGAGAAGAAAGAGGAAGATAAAATATGTCTAGCTGCTGACATAGCAACAGACCAATGTGACTCTCAAAACCTTGTCTTAGATGACTCAGAAGCCAAAAGTTCTCGTGACCCGGAGTCCTGTGATGTCACAGATGATATTAGTGAAACAAAACCAGACTCTTTCACGGAAGTAGTGAAAGACGATGATCACTTGGCTGCAGAAAATGTTGAGTGTCCCGTTGAGGAAAAGGGTATCTGTGAAATTAATACGAGTACATCTCAGTCACCTGGCAGAACTATGTTAACTGATAAGGATGAACCATTAGTTGACCAGAATGCTTGTGATCTGGAGCCAGACCTAACTGAAATCAGTACTGCAGCATCTTCTCTTAGTGGTGAGATGTATCCTAGAACTAAAGAGAGAGAAACTAACCCAGTTCCTGTTGATGATGACAGCTCAATACTGAGCATTGATCTCAATCACTTGAGGTATATTCCAAAGGCAATCAGCCCACTGAACAGTCCAATGCGCCCTTTGGCTAAAGCACTTAAGATGGAAAGTCCCTGCAAAAGTCTTGTGAAGAGTTACAGCAAAGGTATTTGTGTATTCAAATTTCTTTTCTACATAAAGGCTTAGAAGATCCATTCATGGAAAGCAGAAATGCCTTTAACTGCTTTCTCAAAAGCACAAATTGTTTCTTCTTTAGCTATGTGAGTCATAGCGGTCATTTTTATTTATAGGGGAACTGTTTAACAGTGCAGTCAAGATTGTAGCCAATTGAACATTAGTGCTATAAAAATTGGAGTTTGTCATTGCTGACAGATAAGTGGTTGAAATAAGAGTTATGTAAAAACTTCTAAAAAAAATACATATAGGTTTCTTAATTGTGGTTAGTTCTGAGTAGATCTCATTAGGTGGTTCTCTTAAATTGTAGAGGCAAAAGTTATTCAGGATCATATTCTTTCAAGTATTTATTTGTGAGAAAGCTGGAGAGAGTACCCGAGACAGTTTCTAGGAATGTCAGCTAAGAGAAAGCTGTGTTCTCCCTCTGAATTAATTTCAGTGTGAATTTTTATTTTTGTATATAT